TTTGTCACTTAATCTGCAACCATCACTCCAATTTGTTCATTCCTTACCACAAAGTGTCACTCGACTCTCGACTAACTTACAGCTTTACTCTTCTGCACAAATTTAAACTGTCCGACATACTTGGAATAACACAGTGTGAGTTTTGTGTTAGCAGTGCTAATGGGGACGATGTTGATGAGAGTAACGTTTTATAAAACACACAATGTTGTCATTATGTGGAGCCAACCCTATGGGCTGCCGAGGGTCTCCAGGTCGGAGCTGGGGTCAGTCCCTTGTCGCTCCAGGCTCAGCAGCACGGCCATGGGTCAGAACTAATTGAGGCATTTGGTAGGCAGCTTTTCATTTAGTATTAAAGTGAAAAGTGAGCCTAAAGACTGCCTGAACCCCCCACCACCTATAACTCACACACACACACACACCACACACGCAGCAGAAACAAAGAAAGAGAACACACTACACCCAAAAAATCTTTGCTGTTCCTCAAGAGAGATTTACTACTAAGGCGCGGAGGAACGCCATGGATTTTTTATTTAGTTTGTTATACGGTGATAACAACTTATTATCTCGTTATCTCGAATATAACAAGATCGTTTTCCGTGATAACTAATGGTTTAGATTATAATGTATTCTTCTGATTTCAACGCTACAAGAGCTCCCACAATGCTTCCAGTCAAGTAACAAACCAACTCTAACATGTCTATTTTACGTTACCCCCTACAGCTACAGCCAGTGGCCTACGGGAAGCTTTTGGTTGGCAGCTCTTGTACCATAAGGGTTTTTTTCTCGAGTAACAAATTAATTAATTCGTTATCTCGAGATAAGACGAACGGCTTCGTCACTTACGCGGTCGGCTACAGCTAGGGCGGCAGTGGCTACTTAAATAAATAATAATAATTAATTCATTATTTCGAGAAAACAAACTTTGTTATCTCGAGATAACGAATTAATAAGTCGTTATCACGAGATAACAGTGCATAAAAAAAAAAATCCATGGCTGTTCTCGGCTTCCGTACCTTTGTCAATGTTAATTCATAGTTACTTTGCAGGAGCTTCTTTTTTCTCC